CAAAACCCGCGTGAGATCAATACCCAAGAAGTGATCGCTTTGAGTGAAGGCACCACCATGCTCAAACGCTATATTGAGTTTATTTGCCTTCGTGAAGTCAGAGCGCCACAATTCTTACATGACACCTTAAATCGCTTAGAACTTTCTTTAGGTCTAGAGCTGACACCAGAAGGCCAAGCAATTATTCCTCTGCTTGACTGTGTAACACCGAATTTTAACTTGCCGCAATCACCTGAGTTAGAGCATTCAGTGTATGTACATAAACTTTATAAATTATGCCTACATAAACTGCTCAAACAGCAAGAAACAGATTTAGATTTACAGGGTATCAAGCTGGTTGGGTCTTATTTGGCAAATGCAGCCAAAGGCCAAGCAAGTGAACAATATTGGGCTTTGGCTGCAGTTGCTTTAAATCACATTGAAAACATCATTCTCAATGACACACGCCTCAGAACGTTAATCAGTATTGAAACCAATATGTCTTTATTCTTTAAAGATCTAAGCGGATTCAAGCCATCTTTATTAGATACTGCCAATATCCTAAGTATTTGTATCAGCCAAGAAGATGAAATATCACAACACATCCGTGAACAGATCAATGTTGGCGAAGATATTCTGACTGACACGCAATTACAAATATTCAGCCGCCATTTATATGGCCCTGATTTTGAAACCATTCATAGTGTGAGCCAACTGATTACGGATGAAATGTCGCAAATCCGTAATGATATTGAGTTTAACTACAAAAATATGAGTGATGAAAAAACGCAAGAATTGAAAAGCAAACTGACTGATCTTGCGCATGTATTTAAAGTCTTGAATCTCAATGAAGCCTATAGTGGACTGAAACAACAGGCTGATCTACTGTCTCAAGACAACATGCTCAAAGATGAAAATTATGCGCAGCAGTTGATGAACAGTATTTTATCAGCGATGAATTCGATTGGTATCTTAGAGCGTAATTACACATCGAGTCGTTTACAGTTAAAAGTGAATAACTTGCAGATTTCATTAGATCGTCTAGATGAAGCACATGCAGCATTATTGACTGAGACCAAAGCGCTGGTTGATTTAAGCTCACAAACATTGGTGCAATATTTACAAGATCCTCCAAGCACAAGTTTAGACCAACTTCCATCACAATTAAGTGAAATTGGTGGTGCACTGTTGTTCCTTGCGGCAAAAGATGGTCAAAAAGCATTGTTACTCTCTGCGGAGTTTATTCAAACGGGTCTTAACAAAGAGCACGTGTTTAACCTTGCACAAGTCAATAAACTGCTTGATGTTTTAGCCAGTGCAGACATGATGATTGAAAATCTACAAAACAAACAACCTGTTTTACAAGCCATGTTTGATGTAGCATTAACAAGTAGTCAAAATTTAAAATCGGTAGCCTAATGTCAGAATTATCACTTGCATATATCTTTCACCATCAACAACTTTTAGTGGATGAAAATTTACAACTACCTAAAGTTGAAAAGTTAGCAAGTGATATCAGCTTTAACTCGGGTGATCAGATTATTGCCCGAGATCTTTTTATCGAAGATCAAATTCCAGAGGGATATCAACTCATCCCGATTCGTCAATTGATTTCACAATGGACCAAATCTGAGTTTGAACAAGCCAGTCGTGCAGTACAGTTGCTAGAGTGGCGAAGAAACCATAAGTTTTGTAGCCACTGTGGACACGAAACCGAGGTTCACCCAACTGAATATGCCATGGTCTGCCCTAGCTGTCGTTATCATCAATACCCGCGTGTACAACCGTGTATTATCACCGTGATTACTCGTGGCGATAACGAAATTCTATTGGCAAAAAATGCCAAGAATAAAAGCAAGATGTATGGCCTTATTGCGGGTTTTGTTGAAGTCGGTGAAACACTGGAAGAAGCAGTCAAAAGAGAAACGTTGGAAGAAGTTGGCCTACATGTCAAAAATGTCCAATATTTATCCAGCCAACCTTGGCCTTTTCCAAGTAATCTTATGCTGGCCTTTAAGGCAGAATATGAATCTGGTGAAATCGTCTTGCAAGAAGAAGAAATTAGTGAGGCTCAGTTCTTTAAATTTGATCAGTTACCCGAAACGCCTTTTAGTGGCAGTATCGCCCATGCCATGATTGAACATGTAATTCACAATAAACCGATGCATAAAGACTGATTTTGATTGAGACATGTTCAAATCAAAAATGCCTAGCGATTGCTAGGCATTTTTCATTGCTTCATTTAAAACCTTAATAATTTCAGGCCGGGTTTTATAGAATCGACTAAATAAACTTGAAACACTGCCCATAATTGAAATATGACCAGTTTTAGGTATCGTGTAAATTTCACAATGATTGCCTTGTTCAAGTAATTGCTGTTTAAAATCTAAAGAGTTTTTAGCTTTAACAATTTGATCATTTTCAGCCAAGAATAAATAATGCTTTACCTCATTTTTTTCAACAAAATAATACGGCATTACTTGTTGATAAGGAATGCTTTGATCAAACGCATTTTCGGCTAAAGCATCTCCTTTATAATCGAAATGATAAGGTCCAGCAATTCCAATCAAAGCTTTGATATTTTGTTTGATGGCCAGTTGATAGTGCTTAGGATGATAAAGCAAAGACGCAATATTAAATGCGCCTGCTGAATGCCCCATCAAGGCAATTTTATCCATTGAAATACCGAAACGTGCTTGTTGTTGTTCCAAATAATTCAAAGCAACTGCAAGATCATCAATATAGCTTGGAAATTTATGCTCAGGCGCTAAATGATAGTTCAGCACTGCCACGTTATAGCCAAAACGACTAAACGCCTCGCCTACAAATTTATAAGCACTTTTATCCCCATGACTCCATGCCCCACCATGAACAAAAAGAATCAGCGCATTCTGTTGCTTTTTATTAGAAATATATAAATCTAAACGTTGTCTCGCCTTTAAGCCATAGGCAATATTATGCTGAATGGAATAGCCCTTTTTAGGGGTCAAGCCATTAATGGTAATACTGCCTAAATCGTATAAACGAAAATCTTGATAGTGTGATTTAAATTGAGATTTTAGTTGTTCAAACTGCTTTCCAAATCTAACTTTTAAAAACTTTAACCTATTGTTGAATAACATTATTGTTTGGCTCTGTAGCATTAGGATCAATCGCAACAGGTGTCTGTACATCAGGTTGTTGTTGTACATTATTTACCACAGGTGCTGTGAAAGATGAAGTTTGGACCGAATTATTCGCTTGTTCGACATTATCAATCAAGGTCACAATTTTAGTCACATTTCCAACTTTTTGTAAAACATCATTTAAATCTGCAATTTCAGCATTGTTTAAACGACCTAAAACATACAACACTCCGTCTTCTGTATGAATCAAGACTTTATTGTCTGAAACCACAGGCGCTTTCATCACTAAACCACGGGTATTCACAGTGACCGATGCATCTTGCATGATAGTGCTATAACCGATTTGATTACCAACAGTCAGGTAATTATGGACTGCTTTTACATCGCTCATCGCTCGTAGATTATCTTCTGCCAACTGCTTTAAATGCGCATCTGGCACTTGCCCTGTCAATAAGACATTGCTATGAAAACTATTAATATTGACACGAGATTGCTTAAATCGGGCATCCAACTTATACAAGTTGATTTTCGCAGTTCGCTCAATAGAAGAATCAATAAACACTTGTCCTAAAGATCGAACACCACTATCTGTTCCCACTGGTGAAGAACCAGTACCACCTGAGATAAAACTCGCGCAACCAGACAAACTTGCTACACACATCATGGTGATGACAATACGTTTTAACACTCAGCAAGACTCCTATTAATTTTAGCCTGCTAAACAACCCATTTAAACGTCGTTAACATGCTGGAAAATATATTTATTTTTGAAATAACCGTACATAAATTTCAGTCACAGATTAATCAAGTCTGCATCTAAAGTAAATGCATTTTCAATCCAAGATTGATCATAAGAGATTTTACTGAGGTCTTGCTGTACGTTTTTTGCAATTTTATGATGTAAATCAAAACCAATCACATCGAAACGGCAATAATATTGTTCATATTGTGGATATTCTTGTAAAAATTTAAACGCCGTTTTAATCATTTTTTGTTGTTTTGATTGATTTACAGCTTCAAAAGCATGCCCCATCTGTGTCGGTGTTCTTGCTTTCACCTCAACAAAAATTAGCTCTTGTTTAGACTGCGCAATAATATCTATTTCACCAAAGCGCGAGAAATAGTTCAATTTTATGATGTCGTAGCCATGTTGAAGCAGTAATTTCACTGCTTCTTGCTCCGCCCATTGCCCTAAATTATTTTTTGCCATCAGAAACCTATCATCACAAAGGCACTAAATTATTTTTTGAGCGTTCAAAACATTGCGGAATACGCTCAACACGATTTCCATCAATTTTAATTTTTCCAGTGCGACCATTAAAGGTTAAGCTTTTTACATTCGGATCCAAAACAAATTGTTCAGCAATATGCCAAGCATCTCCACCAAAGGCATATAAACGCTGATACGGTAACGAGGTCGGTTTATCTTTATAAGCTTTGACGACATCATCCCATTCGGCGATATATAAGGCTGGAACATCACAGAATTTCATCCCTTTAGGCAAGGCCTTTTTTTCATCAACGGCAATGGCTTGGGTATAAATTTTTTTCTTCTGCAATTTGGGAAAACTGGTCAACCATTGGTTTGAACCTAACAGTAAAATACCCTCTCGATCCGAAATCGACTTTGGCATATGCTCCACAGGATCAACTTCACCCATATAATTGGCAAATAATGCATTTAAAAAGCTAATAGATTCCGCTTCCGTTCCTTTTTCACGCACCACATAGAGTTTGCTGACTTTATCATGCTGGATATAATCAAGCAGCGCCAATGCATCGTCATTTTTAGAAAGGCTATATTGCCAAACACTTTTATCGCTAGGATAAACTTCATTGAGTGCCAACACTGGTACTTTAGGCTTCAAATTAATTAAAGCCTCAACATCAGGACGAGCCAAAGGCCCAATAATCATTTTAGTCTTTTTATTGACATGCTGTTTTAACAGGGCTTTGATGGTCTTTTGATCTGAATCGACAAATTTTAATGGTATTTCATTCTTCGAGGCCTGCGCGGCACTTAATATTCCTTGTTTAATACTCAAACCCGCTCGCGACATAGGGCCTGTTTCAGGTAATATAACCAGAATTTCTGCGTGAACTTGGATTGTAAATCCAACCATTCCCAACACAACCACTCTTTTAATACTGTTCAACACTAACTTATTCTTCATGGAGACCTTTATGAGTGCTCAATTATTCGTCGTAGCGACCCCAATTGGGCACTTAGATGATATGACTTTTCGTTCTATTGAAGTTTTAAAGTCTGTTTCTGTTATTGCGGCAGAAGATACACGTCAATCTGCTCAATTATTAAAGCACTATAATATCTCAACTCCGCTCACAGCGTGTCATGATCACAATGAAAGTAACAAAATTGATATACTTATCGAAAAATTAAAAAGCGGTCAGAATATTGCTCTAGTCAGTGATGCTGGTACACCATTGATTAGTGACCCTGGTTTTAAATTGGTACGTGCCGCTCAGGAAAATGGTATCCGCGTCATTCCTGTACCGGGTGCATGTGCTGCGATTGCTGCGCTAAGTGCGGTGGGTTTACCGAGTGATCGTTTTAGCTTCGAAGGCTTTTTATCGTCAAAACAATCGCAACGATTGATTCAATTAGAAAAATTAAAACATGAATCACAAACCATGATTATCTATGAAGCGCCTCATCGTATTTTAGATAGTGTCAAAGATATGGCTGATGTTTTTGGTGCAGATCGCCCTGTTGGTTTTGCACGTGAAATTACCAAAACATTTGAAACGATTAAAAAAATGACTTTGAGCGAGTTGGTGACATTTATTGAAAATGATCGCAATCAGCAAAAAGGTGAAATTGTTTTAGTTATTGGTGGTGCACCAGATGCCAAAGATCAAGATGTTGAACAAGAGAAGTTAGATCAACTTTTAAATCGCTTATTACAAGATTTATCGGTTAAAGCAGCATCACAACTGGCTGCGGATCTAACAGGCATCAAAAAGAAAATCGCTTATCAACGTGCTTTAGAGCTGACTAATCAACAATAATTTTATTTCTTGAGTTGAGAAATGCCTGTATAAGCATTTCTCAATCTGCTTTTCTACAAGCGACTGGTTGCTCTGGTCGCTTTTGTACCTGCCTTAATTTTTAAAACACAATAATTTTTAATCACGCACTGATCAATCTGGCACTTATAAAAGCTGATGCAGAAAAAACAATCAAAAGCACAACATTACTGATGATTTACTCCGCCATGCTTTTAAAGTGATTGACAAAAATCAATAAAAATAAAATGATTATTTGATTAAAAATTCAAGAGAAAAATCACAAATAATGATCAATTCAAAATTTAGATTTAATCATCTAAAAGAGAAAATAGACATCATCCCAACTCAATTTAAAAAAGCACCTTTCGGTGCTTTTAAAATCAATCTTTAGCAGATTCATCTGGTGGAACTTCGGTAATTCTCCCACCGCGCGCTAAAAATGCAGCGACTTCATCTTCCAACGCTTCACGCTGTCTTTTTTTCGCTGTCACAGTGAGTGTTTCAGCTTCAGCTAAATCTGTATCTGAAACTGTAGAATCACTTGCCGCAGCACCTTTTTCAGCCGCTTTAGCTTCATCATCGTCTACTGCATGATCTTCTGAATTATCATCATAATCATTTGTATCTGTCATCTTTAACTCCCCATCAATGACGTCAATGTACCATCCGAAAAATGGTGATGTTTTACAGAGAAATGTATCAAGCTCTTCGCCATTCGACTAGTATCTAGATACACAAAATCGTGTTTTTTTTCATCAAATTCGTAATGTTGTTTAAATGATTGGTTAAAAAATATCAGAAATCCAATTAAATGGCATATTGCGTGCTTTTTAAATTTGCCAACCCATTGGCTTGTGCCATAAATTGATCTTTTAAAAATGGCATATTTTCAACTTGTTTTAAGCCAAAGTTACGCGCCCAAACCAATGGAAATATTTCCGCAGTTTCTAAAAAACCAATCATCGACATACTATGCATCATGGCATCGTTTTGCCCTTTACGCTGGTGTTCATAACGCTTTAAGGTTTGTTCATGCGCCCATACGCCACGCTGTTTATCTTTAAGTAATACATCACACAGAATAGCAGCATCTAAACACCCAATATTTACGCCTTGTCCTGCTAAAGGATGAATCACATGCGCTGCATCACCAATTAAGGCCAGCCCATCTTTTACATAACGTTGTGCCGCACGCGCCTTAAGTGGAAATTGAGCCCGTGGTGTCGCTTCAACGATCTTGCCCAACATATGATGACTTTCACGTGTCAGTAATTCACAAAAATCAGCATCATCTAAGCGCGCATATTCTTCTGCATAATCATCAGGTAAGGTCCAAACGATTGAAATCCAGTGTTCAGCTTGCTCAGGCTTTAAACTTGCCATCGGTAAAAATGCCAATGGGCCAGTCGGATGAAAAATCTGACGAGCCACATATTGGTGCGGTTGTGTGGTACGAATCGCGGAGGTCAAACCGGCTTGTTGATAATCTAAAACATCAAGATCGATAAATGCTTGATCACGAACAAATGAGTTTGCACCATCTGCACCAATCACTAACTTGGTCTTTAGCTCAGTCCCATCTGCAAGTTTAATGATCCAACAACCTACACCCTGCTCTACTCGCACAACTTTAACTTGGGTACGATAATCTTGCAGTTGTTCCAACATTTGCTGTTGGATGGCAAGATTTAATAAACTTGGCTCGACCATTGAACCTAAGCTTTGCTCAGCTGTGGGAAAGTTTTCTGAGGCTTGCCCAAAATTAATTTCGCCATAGCCATTTTTATTCCAGACTTGCATGCCTGTATAAGGCATTTGGCGAGCGATTTTTTCCCACACATTCACCGTTTTTAACAAGTGAATCGTGGCTTGACTCAGCGCTAAAACCCGTGGATTAGCAACAGCTAAAGTCTTTTCAGCATCTAAAATAGGGGCTGCATCTAAAACTGTGGCTTGCACACCGCCCTGTGCTAAAAGCAATGCGGTTAAGCTACCCACCAGACCACCACCAACAATCACCACATCTAACATATCTTGCTGTGTCATGCTTTTAATCCCATCGCATAATTGGCAACCAAAGGTTTAATCCCCGGAATCACATCAAAAGCCACCAAGCCAGTATTACGCAATAATTTTAAAACTGGATTTTGATTACTAAATCCACGTACTACAGAATCACAGAATTTAATCACACGTTGCTGATCAGTTAAGCGAGATTGTTCATAGGCCTTTAACATCTCAGGTTGACCAATATCATCAGATTGCGCAATTTGCGTTGTGATATAACGCATCAGGACATCTGCATCACGCATACACAAGTTAAAACCTTGTCCAGCAACAGGATGAATCGTATGTGCAGCATTGCCCATCAAAATCACCCGACCCACCGCTTGTTTTTCAGCAAGCACTTGTGCCAATGGGAAGCTAAAACGTTTGCCTGTTTTTTGGAATTTTCCTGCACGATCACCATAGGTTTGCTGTAAAGCATCAAGGAAATGCTGGTCATTTTCATCACCTAACCATTCATCTTCTGTACCTTTTTTCACTGGCCAAACCACTGAACGACGACATTCCCCAGGCAGTGGAAGCAATGCCAATGGACCTAAATGGCTAAAGCGTTCAAAGCCCACTTGATGATGTGGTTTAGAGGTTTGTACTGTTGTGACAATTGCCACCTGATCATAATCATGTACATCCACCCCAACACCTAAAGCTTGGCGACAGAAAGAATCACGACCGTCTGCAGCAATCAACAGTTTGGCTTTAAGTGAATGGGTATATTCTTCACCACGATTGGCTTCAACATATACATAGTCACCCTCTTGTTTTAGTGAGGTCACTTGTACACCATCAATCAATTCAATTAAAGCTTGCTGACGAACTTGAGTCAGCAGTACACGGCCTAGCCATGCATTTTCAATCACTTGTCCAAAACTTTCGACTTTTTCTTGATCTGCGACTAAGCGCGCTTTACCAAAACTGCCTTGTTCAGTGATATGCACTTCGAGGATAGGAGTTGCATGTTCTTGCAAGGCATCCCAAAGACCGAGTTTTTGATAAATTTGCACGGTACGACGTGATAGCGCGGTATTTCGTGCATCAAAACTGGAATGATAGGGTGCAAGATTGGCATCATCATAATTTGGATATTTCACAGCCTCTAAAAGCTTTACCGCAATATTGGCTTTTGCCAACATTAGAGCCAAGCTCAGCCCAACCATTCCACCGCCGACGATGATGACTTCTTGTTGCATGCTTTTATCCTTTCTATATGTGATTCAGCGTACTGAATACTTATAATCTTGATTGATTTCATATTACATCAAGCAAAGTCATTTTTATATTGAAATAGGAAATTGTTGGCTGTATTTGTACTGAATCAATACGCTATTTTTAACATAAGTATGAAAATTAAAAATTCTAGCCAAGAATTAAGCATGTTATTTAGCTCGACCGATATGGCACTTTAAAGGTATTGTTTAAATATGCAACATCAATAAAAGTGCTGAATCATTACTTGAGTATTGTTATTTATGAACTTACTTGACTAACATCTATTTTTTAATTTATTTCAATCATAAAACCTAGACAATCTCTCTTATTATCTCCCAAAGCTGGAAATATAGCCCAATGCTTTAACAAGGTCGTTTCAGTAAATCCTGTTTCAATCAGAACGTTTCGTGATTTCACATTTTCTGCATCACAAAAAGTCTCAATTCTTTTAAGCCTACTGTTATTTTTTAAATAGACAATGACAGCAGTGATTGCCTCTCTCATAAAGCCTTGCCCTTGAAATTTACTTCCAAGCCCAAAATGAATTTCACCGTGATCTCCTTTGTGAATAAACATCACAAGCCCCATGGCTAAATTAGTTTTGCGCTCGCCAATAATCCAAGCAAAATCTTTATCATTATTTTCCCATTTTGTACCACTCCAATTTTCAAACATACACTTGGTTTGCTCGATATTGACATGTGGTCGCCTTTGTAAGTATTTCGAAGACTCCCTGTCTCCGCAATACTCATGAAAAAGTGAGATTTCATCACCTTCAACAAACTTGCGTAGAATCAAACGACTTGTTTCTACTGGCTTAGCTAAAACGGTGTAAGTATCCATACATACTCACCTTTTAAATTGAAAAACTTATACTGACTTTGCCATCAATGCTTCAATATCTTCAATCGATTTCACCACATTTTTGGTCAAGACCAATGGTCCCTGTTCAGTTGCAACCACATCATCTTCAATCCGAATACCGATACCACGCCATTTTGCATCCACTGTTTCATCATCAGGTGCGATATATAAACCGGGCTCTACAGTAACAACCATACCCTGCTCATAATTACGCCATTGACCATTTTCATCTTTATATGCGCCAACATCATGCACATCCATACCAAGCCAATGCCCTGTACCATGCATATAAAACTGACGATAGCGTTCAGATTCAATAATTTGCTCAACATCACCTTGCATAATGCCAAGGTTGACCAAACCTTCTACCATAATCCGTACTGCAACATTATGCGGTTCTTTATAAGAATGACCGATTTGAATTGCATCTATCGCAGCAATTTGTGCATCTAAAATAATTTGATATAGCGCTTTTTGTTCAGGGCTAAACTTACCATTTACAGGAAAAGTACGGGTGATGTCTGAGGCATAGCATTCATACTCAGCCGCCGCATCGATCAACACCAAATCACCATCTTTTAAGGGTTGGTTGTTCTCAACATAATGTAAAATACAGCCATTTTTTCCCCCACCCACAATACTGTTATAGGCAGGTACACAACCATTCTGACCAAAGATATAATTCAGCTCAGCTTCTAAAGCATATTCCATCATCTCAGGATGAACTTTTTGCATGGCACGTGTATGTGCATCTGCACTGATATTTGAGGCGATTTGCATCAATTCAATTTCTTGAACCGACTTATGCAAACGCATTTCATCTAAAATTTGATCAAGTTGAATCAACTGCGCTGGAACACCAAAACCACGTCCAGATTCATTGGCTTTGGTGATCCAAGTACTGACCTTGGCATCAAAATCTGCACGTTGACCAATACGATAGAATAATTTTTCTTTATTTAAAATTTTAGCAATAATTTCTTCGTCAAGCAGATCAATCGCATAAGCTTCATCTGCTTCATAATCATCAACCGCACCATCAATTCCGGCACGGTAACCATTCCAGATTTCCATCTCACGATTACGTTCACGACAGAACAAGCTATAGATATATTCCTCACCAGTTTCATCTGTCTCTATGACTGCAACTGCTTGTGGCTCTGCGAAACCGGTTAAATAGAAAAAGCTACTGTCCGCACGAAACTTATAATCAGCATCTCGGTTACGCATGACTTCTGGACTGGTTGAGATAATTGCAATGCTATTGGGACCCATTTGTTCAGCGAGGCGGTCACGACGTTCCTGAAAATCTGCTTGAGTTAATTTCATTCTCTATTCAGCTTGTATTTCAGATGATTAATTTGGAAGAAGCTTTAACTTACAATTACGCTTAGATGAATGCAAATACAGATGACTCAATATTTGCATATTTTAAAATAATTTTATTATTTCCCTTGTTCTACGCTAAATCGCGACAATAGAACAAGGGAATCATTCCAAACTAAAAAATTTAACCCTTTACATCACTACTTTATTCAACTTCAATGCTTTCAAAGTGAATAACAAAGCACTGTAAAGGGAGCTGTAAAACCGACTACTCATCAAACATAGATGTTCTAAAGTTTAAGTTTCTTAGCTTTTTTTCTTAGTTTTAGCTTGGGCGATGTGGAGTAAACATCTCTACAACATTGTTACTTTCAGAAGCATCAATTGCCTGTTTCATTTTGCTATGAAAATTTTGCAATAGAGGGCTTTCTGACACTGGAACTTTTTTTCGTCCCATTGATAATGACACAGGGATCAAGCGTACAAATTCATACAATTCAAGATAGCTTGCTTCACCCTCATCATCGTCATCTGATTCATCAAACTCAACAGATGCAACATCTTGTAAACTTTCAATGAGCTCTTGTTCATCTGCGCGAATATGACCAGAAGCCAATCCAAAGCCAAGCACAACCCCTGCACACCAATCTGCCAGTGATTGCACACGCTCAGCCAATGTATGCTCATCATCTGGAAGCATTGGAAGATAGTCTAAATCATCATCTGAAAGTGCATGTGATACATCCTCTGCTTCCTCTGACAATAGCGCAAGCGCTTCATCGTCTAATTTTGGAACATCAAGCGTAGATAAAATTTGTAACCATTCATCTCGAGTCGGAACTTCAGTAACACAAACTATACCTGTCAGTAAGCCATGTAACTCACTCGGGCTTGAAATTTCCTCAATCCCCTCAAAATTTTGATTCCAATCTGACCAACCTGAAATATCGTCTTGCATTCGTTTATCCAATCTCTATACTTCTGTATATATTACCTTTGATTGCAAATCTGTGCGACCCGTTATGTTAGAACAATTACAGCGTCTACAGACGCATATTGGTGTTTTAAAAACACGAATTGAAACTGTTGAGAAAGAAAATGCATCGCTGTTAAAAGAAAAGGATAACAGCGAAGAGCAATCTCATGCTCAAATTAGCCATAAAAATAGCATTATCACCCAAAAACAAGATGAAATTGATACGCTCACTGAGCAACTCTCTCAGTTACAAAATCAGTTTCAACAGCTCAATACAGATGCCACATCTTTAGCTGAGCGTTATGGGCGTTTGGAAAAAAGTTGTACCGATTTAAAAAATCGTTTTCAGGAAATTTTGGCTGAACGTAATGAATTGCGTGTGGTTAAAGAAAAAATGGCAAATGAACAGCGTCATCACTTACAAGACATCAAAGGTCTTCAAGATGAGCGTGAACGTTTAATTCAAAAAAATGAACATGCCAAAACAAAAGTGGAAGCCATTATTCAACGCCTTTCGATTTTAGGGACTGAACAAGATCATCATGCGCAAGAAATCCAACAGCTTGCTCATCCATCAGAGTCTAATGAGGAAGTATGAGTATGACTGAACATGTGACTGTAGAATTACGCTTAATCGAGCAAAGTTTTCGTTTAGGCACCACAACAGATAAGCAACCAGAACTCGAACGTGCTGGTCGACTCTTAAATGAAAAGTTTCAAGAATTTCGCCGTAAAGCCCCCAATGTTGAACATAATAAATTGGTGATCATGGTGGCTTTAGAATTGATGCAAGAAGTTTTAGCCATGAATAAATCGTTACAAGAATATGCACAATGCGAACGTTTATTAGCGACCATGTTAGAAGATGTTGAAAAAGCGGGATAAACCGCTTTTTTTTCGTGCAATTGATTAGTTTTTTATACTGTATTTATAAATTATGAGCATTGGAGATTTGCCACAATCTCCAAATTATGTATACTTAATATAACTCTAGGGTGTTCGCCAGTACGTCTATTCCCCTGCCGATACTTAAACTTATGGATGTGTTCTGTATATTTTGAGTGTATGCCCACCTTGAGTGGGAAACCCATTAAGTGTACGTCACGTCCACCTTGAACTCATCGGGTTCAGGGTAACGACCATGCAGCGGCATCTCTGGAGTGTTTTATTTTTAAATCCTTATAAAATAAAAATTATAAATATATGTTGTAATATGCCTTTGATTCCATTTCCAAAAATATAGCCCTGATAGATCATAGTGAAACAACAATCTATTCTCTTTGATCCACTCTATAAGCTGATCAAGTCGAATCTACAGCATCATTCAAAAACTCAACTGACTCCAAACATAACTTTTCCCATTCAGCTGAAAATTCCTCTTCCGCTTTTTGTTTACCTAAATTTGTAGCATATACAGGTTTTGATTCTGCATCAGCAATGATGACTTCTAAATTTTTTGCATTATTACATAGTTCGCCTTTTAAATTAAATGCTGTATTCAAATCAACACCAAACTGTCTTAACTGCATGATCATTCCAGCGCTTTCTGCAATAAGTTTGCAATGATCTACTTGATTTGCATCAATTGCTTGGCTAAATAATAAAAGCAATAAAATTTTCAATTTCATTTTTATAATCCTTAGAATTTTCTAATCACATTGATTATATGCATAGATATCGTCTAGAGCCATGCTTTCAAGCGATCTACTAAAATCTCAAACATCATCGTTTATGTACGATATGAATTAGATATTTTTCTTTAGATAGTATGCTTATCCATATTGATCATTTCATTCTATATGGATTTATTTTTATTGAAGAGCGTAATTTCTTTTCATTATTCCACTCAAATGCATAAATCTACATCACCAGCATTTCCCGTTCACTAGAGCTAAAATATATAGCTATGCCCTATACAAGATACAAGCTCGATACTTTAAACTTATGTTACTACCTCTGAATTCCTATGACGCCTAAGCTTAAGAAAAATATAGAAATAACACAAATCCTAGAATGATCAAAGATATGATTAGCCATACGTTTATACAATTAAAACTTTTGATGAAATTCCACATTTTGCTATCCCTTAGAAATGGCTAAGGAATTCTACTTATTGGGGTTTAATTTAAAAATTATAAATTAGTCTGAGCTACAAAAAATTCGACTGTAAAATAAGTATTTAACTATATAGTAATTTTCCCAAGGTATTCATTTAAACACCTAATATCTATAGACATTCTTTATAGTTCATTGTGAAACTTTTCAAAAACTCACCTTTAGCATTATTTAATTGATAAACGATATTGCCCTGTGTTGTTTTTTTAAATACTTCAGACTCAAATAAATCACTTTTACTACAAATGTTGTTTTTGGTCAGATTTTTATACTTGTTTTCATCAAATTTCTCGCTTAGATCTTCTGTAGACTCAATCCCCTTTAAATCTGATACAAGCAACAATCCATTGCTAGTTAACCTAATTCTAGAAATGTTTGTTAAATCATCTGATTGATTGGGCTTAATGTTCGAAAAATTGTGATTAATCACTTTGACTAAGCCATTGTACAGTTCGAGATTAATGATATTGAATTGATCATCAACTGCACCAACTTGCAAAAAAGGTTCGTCTAATGGGCTCTGCGCTTTCAATTCAGCACACAGTAAAAAACTGAGTATAAACAATAAATATCGCAACTTGGTTCTCCTCATCAACGATCCATCTGTTGAAACAAAACACTGCAAATACAAGTTTAAGCGAGTGCATAACGATAATTAGACTCGTTATACAACCACAAAGTTGTCGGTACTTACTGCCTATAACCCTCCTTTATCCATCAAAAGAAAAAGTGAGATAACGGCATAGGTTCAAAATTAATTCTTTCATATACTAAAAAGCCCATCTTTCGATGAGCTAGATTTAAAGTTATGAGTTGTTCCACTCACCAGATTGAACACCTAACTCATCATCACCAGTCATCAGAACTGCTGTTAAAATTGGAACCGCTAAAATCACTGGGAAAAAGACAATCCATAGATCAATGGATAGCTTATTCGAAAAAACAAAATGAATCACGATCGCAATTAAAGCCAATATTCCAAACAAAATACTTGCGAATCGAGTGGCAAATTTTAAAAGCATTTTTTATTCCCCTAGTAATTAAAAATTTTTACTCTATTTACTCTCATAGTTATGTCCTATTTTTAGAAATTAAGCAAAGCCCTTTGAGATAAAATAACCTCTCTTTTGAGGTATATTTACAAAAACCATAAAAAATATATGGATTTCTATAATACTTAGCACTTTTTGTAGTTTTTATCTTTTTCCTTATGTCTGTTATGAATGAAAAGTTCGCTTTTAAGTGATTAGATTTTCTCTTCAGATAGCTTGATATAGGCAAATAAGTTGAATTCCAAAATGAACTCTTTTTAGCCAAGCTTTTTGCGACTTTTGGAAATCGACATAATGAAAATCAATAGCTTGATGAATCACGGATCATATTGATCAACGCCTTAAGTGTAGTGGATACATGACGATAGCCAGGATAATAAAGGCTAAGACCACGATACACTGGGCTAAAGTTTTCCAAAAGGATACTTAATTGCTGATTTTCCACAGCATTTTTCACCAAATGATCGGGTACAAATGCGATACCAATACCATCTATTGCAGCATCAACCATTAATGTTTGATCTGTAAGTGTTAATGGTCCTTTGACATCTATCTTTTCAATAATGCCATTCATATCAAATTCCCAGCGAAAAATTAAGCCACTATCAAAACGGAAACGAATGCAATCATGTTCATAAAGATCATGCGGAACAAGTGGTGTAGAATTTTTTAATAAATAGTCTGGGGATGCAACAGCAACAAAGCGTGCGGTTTCAGTCAAACGGATTGCTACCATTTCTTTAGGTATATCGTCTGCAAGGCGTATGCCTGCATCAAAATTTTCCTCAACGATATTGGTTAATTTACCATCACAAACAATATCTAAATGAACCAATGGATAGTGTTGTAAGAACTTTTTAAGAATGGGTTTTAAAACCAGTCTAACCGCCCCTTCACTGGCATTGATTCTAAGTACACCACTCGGCTGATCTCTAAAATCATCTAAATGATTTAGCGCATTTGAAATATTTTCCATGGATGGTCGAAGTGAATGAACCAATTGGATTCCGGCATCAGTCAAAGAAACACTGCGTGTGGTTCGATTAAAAAGCCGAACATTTAAGCGGCTTTCCAAACCTTTTATGGCATGACTAATTGCTGAAGGTGTGACGTTTAACTCAACCGAAGCTGCACGGAAGTTTCGATGAGAGGCCACAGATAAAAAAATTGTTAAAGCAAAGAGTTCACCGCTTTTCAATTGATGAGCCATTTTCACTATTCTATAAAGTTTTATGAGATTGTTCTCAATAATATATTTATATAGGCTGAATGAGTACTCAAAATTAATGACGATAAGGAAAATTACAATGCCCAAACATGGTAACTATGCTGTAGAAAAAATAACATTTGATTCACATGGTGATGCAGTGGTTGGCGATTTATATAAACCAGATACTGATGGAAAACTCCCCGCTGTTATTATTCTTGGGCCATATTCTTTTCAAAAAGAACAGGCACCCACTCAGTATGCGACACGTTTAGCAGATGAAGGCTTTATCACCCTCGCATTTGATCCAAGAACTGTTGGTGAGAGCCAAGGTATGCCACGTCGCCTTGAAAATCCAAAAATGAAAAACGAAGATGTCATTGCTGCAATTGATTACATCTTTACCCGTAACGATGTCGATACCGATAAAATATTTCTATTAGGGGTTTGCCAAGGTGGACCTGAAATGCTGGATATCGCGTCTTATGAAGCACGTGTCAAAGCCGTTGTTTCTGTTACTGGATATTATCGAGATAGAGAAACTGATTTATTTATGCTTGCGGCAGGTGTGACAGAAAATCCATTTGATGTTGAATCAGCACCAACGATCGAAGAATTAGAAGCCTTATTAGCGATCCGTTTAAAGAAAGCACAGGATGCCAAAGTTCTTTACGAAACAACGGGGGAAGTTATCTATCAGCCACTCGTATCGCCAGACCTCGGTGATCGCGTCAAAGGCTCGAATGCGGGTTTACCTGGTCCAATTATATGGAGCTGGTATGAAGCATGGACGCTAAAAAACTGGGAGAATCGCTACGCAATTATGAGTGATCTTGACCATTTTTCTTATTCAACTGTAGCTGGCGTTGCAAAACTAAAGAAACCCGCGCTTATCATTCATTCGGATACCTGTATGAATCCAGCAGCGGCTCGTCGTCATTTCGATTCAATTCCAACATCAGATAAAAAGCTTATCTGGGAAAATGGAACCAACCATTTCCAGTATTATGAGCAACCCGATATTGTAGATAGAACAGTTGCACATGCTGCAGATTGGTTTTATCAACATCAAAATTAAGATCAAATAGCTTTAGTCGGATATGAAAGATAATCCTTTTAACGCTGTATCGACAATCAGTTAAGCGACATTAAGTTTTGTATGGACAACTCCCTCCTTTAACAAAGGTGAGAAGTAGCCACTTTGCAAAGGGCAAGGATTTAAAAATTCTTCATCATTTGCTTGCCAGCCAAGGTGGCATCTTTTCAATGCCCTTTTCTACCTTAAGTTTTACGATTGCGGTATCCACATTAAAAAACCACCGAATCGGTGGTTTTTCATTAAAATTAATGTACTGCTTCTGCTGAAGACTCTTTATGATCATCATCTTTGGTTTTGGCTAAATTTTTACCCTTGGTTTTCTGAGGATTATTTTTATGTGACTGATAGTAGCAAGCAATTGCAATTCCAGTCCCTAATAATGCTACGGTCTTTAACATGATATACCTCATACTGAATTGAATAACGTCTATTAGGAATAACATTAAATTTCTAATAAAGTATTTCGATATGTGAGTTATGCAAGTTTATGTGAAGCTTTATTACATTTGATTTCAAAGATTCAGATAAATCATCTAAATTTCAGTGTTATGGCTGATTTAAAGTATTTCGGTATTTAACCAAACAGTCACATGGTAAGTTTTTATTATGAGATTTTAATTCCAACTTATTTATTCTAAAGCCATCTAATATTCATCAATCAACACTGATCAAAAATCCTTCCTTAATTTTCAATATCTTTTATATTCGTTCAGCCATATAAAAAGCCCATCTTACGATGAGCTTTTCTAAAACATTGATTACGATTTATATCGCAATACGATAAAGTTGATTTTGATTAAGATAGAAAGATGAACCATCAATATTAAATTGACGATCGTCACCAGATTCTAATTCAATCTTTTTCCCTACTTCGACCCAACTCATACCAGTACGGTTGCTTTGTTGTCTTTTTAAAGGAACGATCTTTACGCGAATTTCATCGCCATTTACTGCAGAGGCTATTGTCCAGCCATTTAAAATATTCATTTTTTCACTCAATTGTTTTGAGCTTTTGCAAACAGAGAAGTATTTAACTATTAAGACCAACAGATATATTTTTGGAACTAACGATAAGAAGGCATCTAACCTTAATTTAAACTTTTGATATTTACATCAGCTTGATATTGCAGAAGTCAGAGTTGAAGCCAACCTTCAAGTCTTGCTTATATATTAAGCACATCTGCTTTAGTATTTTTCATAGTACGCTAATTTAACAGATTATGCAACTTAAATAACATTTGATTATTTTAAATTAAAAGTTCCTATTTATAAAATCGATTTGTGATGTTTATGTACAGGCCTAATTTAGAGATTATTTATATCACCATTTAAAACAAGACAATACAAATATTTGATATTTTTATAAATATATTTTGTCGATATAAACTCAGTTTAGCCAACATATCTCCACATATGGCTCTCACAACTACCTTAGTGTAAGTGGATTAAAAGACTATTATCCAGACTCACTTAACAATTTGAGAAGATTATAATGTCATTTAAAAGTTTTTCACAAAATTCAGCTCAAGCAAATTCAGATACTAAAAACGTTGAGCAAACTCCGCCTAAAGATGCGCCACAAGCAACTCCTGGTGCTACACCGCCTAATCCAAATCAGGACAATAAAGAGGTTAAGCAACCTGATACAAATAAGCCTAAATAACACAAGGGTCTTTTGAAATTTCATAAATGGCTTACGTTGTAGGCTAAGAATGAACAGACCTTAAAGCTTAATCTATAAAAACTTACCGATGTTTGGTAAGTTTTTTCGTTGTTGGTTATATAAATTCAGACTGTATCAACTCAAAATATTCAGCTTTCTCCATGATGTAAAAAAAGCCCACAATAGTGCGGGCTTTTCAGATCGGCATGCTGCGATCTCATGCTCAGCGTTAACTGCTTAGGTTTTAAATCTATTTAGAGGGAATACGCAATTCCTGTAACAACCTAAACACTTCCGTTTCGCTTACGGATTCGATCAAAGCTAAGTTAACACAGATCAGCAGATGAAAGCGGATAAAATATATTTGATTACGCTTTATTTAATAAAGTATCACCGCACTAAATTCAAATCGTGAGTTTGTATAAATATAAAGCCAAAGTTCTCAGTAAAACTTATAATACCATCACTCTTTCAAATCCAATAAATTATTTAATTAATTGATTTTAAATAATAATACATTGCTATTACCAATATTTCAAAGCCCCCTACTCTGCACTTTACAAAGAATCGTTTATTCTAATTTTAACCATCTACTGTTAATAAGGTAAAAACCAATGATCTCAAAGAAGATCAGCCTTGCTTAGCCTACAAAGCGTAAGCCCACACCCGGTTCAGTCACAATATATTTGGGTTGTACCGCATTATCATTCAGTTTTCCACGCAATTTGGCCACCAGAATTCTTAGGTAGTGAGTATCTTCCTGATGAGTTGGTCCCCATAAATCACTGAGAATTTGTGGTTGAGTAATCAACTGCCCCTTATGTTGCGCCAATAAAGTCAGCAATTGATATTCCTTACGTGTCAGTGAAATCAGTTGTTGGTTAAGAAATACCTGTCTTTGGGCAAAATCAATTTTTAAAAAACCATCATCAAAAAAAGCGGATTCCACAGCAACGTTTTGAAATTGTCTGAGTAATACGCGGATCCGCGCCATAAGCTCCTGAACACTAAAAGGTTTCGTCACATAATCATTGGCGCCAGCATCCAGTAATTTGACCTTTTCCTCTTCATTGGAACGTACAGACAAAACAATCACAGGGACATGCGACCAAGCTCTCAACTCAGATAAAACTTCTAAACCATCTAAATCAGGCAGTCCTAAATCTAAAATAATTAAATCAGCGCCTTGCAAAGCCAAAAGCTCTAAGCCCTTTTGACCATTTTCAGCCAGTAGCGTTTTATAGCCCTGTGCTCTAAGTGCAATATCGAGAAACTTACGAATTTGAGTTTCATCATCAATAATCAATACATTGGTCATGGAACTTGTCGATACATTGTGTTCTGGCATGCTATTTCCTAAAATCAATATGTGCACTTATCCAATCTGCTGAATCGGCAATTGCATACGGATGCAGGTGCCTTGATTATTCTTGGCTGAAGATGCCGAAATTTTACCCATATGTGCACCAATAATGGCTTTAACAATGGTTAAGCCCAACCCCGTACCATACTGTCCGCGATCGCCACGTTCCATAGTATAGAACATATCAAAAATTCGCTCTCGTTCATCTTCTGGGATACCCAAACCTTGATCGCTAATCGAAATTTCAATTTCGTTTTCATTGAGTTGTAAGACTTTAATCGTTACCGCTTTATTCTCTGGGGAAAACTTGGCTGCATTTTCCAATACATTAAAAATCGCTTGTTCGATCAAAGCAGCATGAACAAATAGGCTCAATGTTTGCTCTGGTAAATCAACCTCAACAAGACTATGCGGCATATAGCGTTTTAAACGGCGTACCGCTGAACCAATCAACTCATCGACACCAATCCAATCTCGTTTAAGACTTAAACCTTCATGCCCTAGCCGTGTCATATCCAATAAATTCTGAATATAACGATCCAGTCGTTCGCCTTCCAAATGAATGGCTTCCAATAAGCTGTCTTGATCTTGTTCATCCATCGAATGCCGATAATTACTCAAAGTATCAGCTGCACCAATCATAGAGGCTAAAGGTGAACGTAAATCATGAGAGACGGAGGATAACAAGGCCGAACGTAATCTCTCGGTTTCTGAACTGACATTGGCGATTTCCAATGCTTTAGTGAGTTGGGTTCGAGAAATTGCTTGAGCAATATATTCAACCATGGTTTCAGTCAGTTGCTTCTGTTCAGTATTTAAAACCGATACATTTTTAAGAAACTTAACCCCGACCACACCAAAACACTGTTTGGAAGCCAATAATGGTAAAAACCACCAATCATTTTCAGTTAATGTTTGGGTAAACCGTCCCGATGGTTGATGGTTCTTAAATGTCCAATCTGCTGAAATTTTTTCTTTATTGTTAATGACCTCAAGTGATGATATTGATGATTCTGGGAAATAAAACCAGATTTCGGCATTTAAATTTTTACTTAAACTGTTTTCTGCAATCTCCTGCACTTGCTTTAAATCGATCGCGGTAGACAGCTTTTGACCTAAATCCTGCATAATGCTGTTATAACTATTTGCAGTCTTTAAAGCCGTTACCTGTTCTCTCAGTCTCGATGCCAAACGGCTTGAAATCAGTGCAGCGCCAAGGAAAGCAACCACGGTAATCACACCCTGATGTGCAGAAATTTGTAAGGTAAATTTGGGTGAAATAAAGAAAAAGTTATAAGCAAAAAAGAACAACAGCGCTGAAAGCACAGCGGCCAGCATTCGTGTTTTAGATGCCACAAAAACCACAGCGGTGATAAAAATCACCGAAAGCTCTTCAATCCCTAAATACTTTTCACCTAAACTGGCAATCACAATACTGATCATAGTGGTGGATAACACATAAAACATTTCTCTTAAACTTAGAAATGAATGCGTATCTTGAAAAAATGATTGCTGACGATGTTCTGCAAGAATTGGGACGATACTCAATTCAAAACTTGGCTGGTATTTAAGTAATTGATCAACAAAATTTACAACACCGAATGTAAAGGCTTTACGATGTGATTGTGCCAATACCAAAGTTGAAATCCCTCGATCCATCACATAATCAAACAGCGTTTTTGCATGTTGCTGACCATATAGGATTTCAGTCATCCCACCCAATTGACGGGTGAGGTTTAAAGCACGTTCAATTTCTCGACTGGATAAATTGTCTTGTTTTTCGCTTATTTTTGAATCTTTAGAAAAGACCACCACCGTCCAATTTGCCTGACGATTTTCGGCAATACGACAACCTGCCCGAACCAAAGCCTCTGCCTGCCCATTGCCCTCAATCATAATTAAAATATGATTTTTTAGAGGAATTGGCACAAGCCCTTGTATAGCAAAATTTTCTCGAACATCGGTATCGACATGACTAGCAACCGTCTGCATTGCCAATTCACGCAATGCTGTCAGATTTGAACTGTTGAAGAATCTTTGCAAAGCTTGTTCAGCTTGCTCAGGTACATAGACTTTGCCCTGATTTAAACGCTCAAGTAATTCATTAACTGGTAAATCAATTAATCGAATATCACGGATCCGTTCAAAGACCCGATCAGGTACGGTTTCAGTCACCCGAATACCCGTAATTTGATAGACCACATCATTTAAACTTTCGAGATGCTGAATATTCATTGTGGTAAATACATCAATACCCGCATCCAGTAATTCATTAATATCTTGCCAACGTTTTTCATGACGACTATTTGGCATATTGCTATGCGCAAATTCATCTACTAAAACAATACTGGGTTTGCTTGCCAGCACAGCATCAAGGTCCATTTCTTCAAGAGAATGCCCTTGATACTCAATCGTCTTTCTTGGAATGATCACCAAACCTGAGATGACGTTTTCAGTTTCAATGCGACCATGGGTTTCAACATAGCCAATCACAATATCGATCCCTTGCAAAGCCAGTTCGTGCGCACGCACTAACATTGCAAAAGTCTTCCCCACACCGGGTGCAGCACCTAAAAATATAGTGAGGCGCCCAGACTGATAACGCTGAGTGTGTTGCAGTAAAACATCTGCTTTATTATTTCTATAATCGCTCATCGCCGTCTGCTTGTTTAAAAATTACATCACTGTGCTGTTTCTTTGCGACCCTTCAATACAGCAAAAAACACAGGCCAACAAAGAAACACAGTCGTTTGATTCAAAATGAAATATCTACGATCTAAAGCAAAAGAGAGAATATTGTAAATTTATACGAAAATAAAATCCCAATAATGCCCGCTTTTCAACAATCATAGAGAATCAATTACATCAACACTGATTCATTTCGCGTTGATGATTGCAACCCATTTATTGAGTTCCAATTTGATCCAAAGCCAAATTTAATTCAAGTACATTGACTCTGGCTTGCCCTAAAATTCCAAATGTCGGTTGTATACTATTTTCTTGCAGCAACCTTAGCACATCCTGTTCTGGCAAATGTCTTGCTTTGGCAATCCGTTTTACTTGAATCATTGCAGATTGAACAGTGATTTCAGGATCAATTCCGCTGCCTGAAGCCGTAACCAAATCTGTAGGAATCGCGCTTTTTTCAACGTGATCCTGTATCACAATTTTGTTTAAACGTTCCTCTACTGCTTTGTGTAAATCAGGATTGGTCCGTGCCATATTACTTCCCGCCATCGCCATTGGGTCATAATTGGCAGCAGAAGGTCGTGGATGAAAATATTGTGCTTGTACAAAAGGCTGTGCAACCAGTTTAGAACCGACAACGCGGTCATTTTCAACGATCAAACTGCCATTGGCTTGTTCATCAAAAAAAACTTGTCCCAACCCCGTTGCCGCAGCACTGTAGACAAAACCACATAAACCCAACGCGACAATGGTTAATCCAAGCGATGCTCGTGTTAATCCAGCGAATGATGACTCAAGCAATCGATTATTTTCAGTATTCATTTTAATCATCCTCAAAATTTCTAAAGTGCCAATAAGGGGCTGATCATCAGATCAATCAGCTTGATCGCAATAAATGGCAACAACACACCACCTACACCGTAGATCAGCATATTTCGACGTAATAATTGCGTCGATGTTGAAGGCTTAAACTTCACCCCCCGTAAAGCAATTGGAATCAATAATGGAATAATGATGGCATTGAAAATCAGTGCAGAGAGAATTGCACTTTCTGAACTTCCCAAGCGCATCACATTTAAGGTTTGCATTTGAGGAATGGCTGCGACAAATAAAGCCGGTAAAATTGCAAAGTATTTGGAAACGTCATTGGCCAATGAAAAGGTGGTCAATGCGCCACGCGTAATCAACTGCTGTTTACCAATCTCAACAACCGACAATAATTTGGTTGGATCTGAATCCAAGTCCACCATATTGCCCGCTTCTTTTGCCGCTTGGGTCCCTGAGTTCATCGCCAAACCAATATCCGCTTGTGCCAAAGCAGGTGCATCATTGGTACCATCGCCAACCATAGCGACCAAATGACCTTTATTCTGTTCATGACGAATACAATTTAACTTATCTTCAGGTTTCGCTTCAGCGATGTAGTCATCAACACCTGCTTCCGCTGCAATAGCCGCAGCTGTTAAAGGGTTATCACCTGTGACCATGACTGTTTTAATACCCATTTCACGTAAGCGAGCAAATTTTTCCTTGATGCCTTGTTTAATCACATCTGAAAGTTCAATCACCCCCAGAATATTTTGATCCTTTGCCACCACTAACGGCGTTGCACCTTTTGAAGCAACCTGTTCTACCCGCGTTTTAAGCTCACTATGATTTTCAAGATTCTGTGAAGCAAATTTAAGGATCGCATCCAGTGCCCCTTTACGGATTTGCTGTCCATTTGATAAATTTATACCAGAGATTCGAGTTGCGGCATTGAAGGCAATAAACTCTACCTGTTCAGGTTCAACAATATGCTCCCCTTGCTCTTTTGCCAAAACTACAATGGATTTACCCTCTGGTGTTGGGTCAGCAAGTGAGGTCAATATCGCAGCTTGACGAAGTTCTGATTCAGTCACTCCAGTCAGTGGGAAAAATGCTGTTGCCTGACGGTCACCATAGGTGATGGTTCCTGTTTTATCGAGTAACAATACATCTACATCACCCGCCACTTCGACAGCTTTACCCGATTTGGCAATCACATTGGCTTTTAACGCCCGATTCATCCCCGCAATACCAATTGCAGGCAACAAGCCACCAATGGTGGTTGGAATTAAACACACCAATAAAGCCACCAAGAGAATCGGGTTAATTTCAATTTTTAAGAAATGCCCTATAAAAGGTAAACTCACCACCACCGCGATAAAGGTCACAGTCATCACGGTCAGTAAAATACCCAGAGCGATTTCATTTGGTGTTTTTTGACGATTGGAACCCTCAACCAAAGCAATCATTCGGTCAAGAAAGCTATTACCCGCTTCAGCAGTCACCTGTACCACGATACGATCGGTTAAAACCTTAGTTCCCCCAATCACACCAGACTTATCTGTACCTGCTTCACGTAAAACGGGTGCTGACTCACCTGTTACCGCAGCTTCATTAATGGTCGCAAAACCATGAATAATTTCACCATCCGCAGGAACCAGTTCCCCTGCACGGACTTCAATCAGATCATTCATTTTTAATAAGGTTGCAGCGACTTGCACACCCCCTAGATCATCCTTAGAACTGAGTCGACATGCGGTTAAATTTTGACGTGCTTGTCTTAAGGAAGAGGCTTGACCTCGACCTTTGGCTTCGGCAATCGCTTCGGCATAGTTGGCAAATAATACGGTGATAAATAAAATCAAGGTCACCACTAAACCAAATATGGTATCGGCTTGACCCGTTAAAGTACTAACCAGTGTTATGATCGTGCCTAGCCATACAATCGCCATCACTGGATTTTTAATTGCATGTTGTGGCAACAATTTAATCAAGGCATTTTTCCAAGCTTCACCTTGGAATAAAGTTGATGATTTATTTTGAGTAGATTGTTTTGAATGATTCATGTTATTCACCCTAGCCTTGTACCAATAACAGCTGATCAGCGATCGGTCCTAAAACAAGGACTGGCATAAATTGTAATAAGGTCAACATCACCACAATAGCAATCAGAGTGAAAGCAAAGGTTGGCGTTTCCACTTTTAAACTACCACTACTTTCAGGGGCTTGACGCTTTGCAGCTAAACGCGCAGCAATCATTAAAGGAATGATCAATGTTGGAAAACGTCCCAGTAGTAAAGCGATGACACAGCTCACGTTCCACCACACGGTATTGTCCGCTAAACCTTCAAAACCAGAGCCATTATTGGCAAAGGCCGAAACATACTCATACAACACTTGTGAAATGGCATGATATTGCGGATTGCTATTGCCTGTAAGTTCAGGGAAAAACAAAGCGATTGAACTTAAACCGAGAATCGTAATGGGCTGAATCAGAATCACCGCAGCAAGTAATTTGATTTCCCCTGCTTCAATTTTGCGGCCAAATAATTCAGGTGTACGACCTGTCATCAAACCTGCAATAAATACAGCCAAAAACAGGTAGATCATAAATTGCTGTAAGCCACAGCCGATCCCGCCCCAAATCGCATTAATCAGCATATTCGCCAGCGCCACTAAACCTGTTAATGGTGATGCAGAGTCATGCATCATATTGACGGAACCATTGTTGACCTGTGTGGTTATGGCGGCCCACAATGCGGAAGATGCTTCACCAAAACGCACTTCCTTTCCTTCCATGGCATAAATTTGCATCACGGTAGATGACAGGCTTTCAGACCAAATCGCCGCCGTGGCTGAAACAACGGACATCAGCAACATTGAGCCAAAAACAAAACCAGCAAATTTTGCGCGTTTGGTTAAAAAACCCAACATAAAAATCACTGCGACAGGGATAAGTAGAATCGCAATCATTTCTAAGAAATTTGAAAATGGGGTTGGATTTTCCAATGGCACACTACTGTTAGGCCCATACCAACCGCCACCATTACTGCCCAACTGCTTAAGCGCAACCATGGGTGCAACTGGACCCAGTGGAATTTTTTGAGTTTTTAATTCGGCCGTTTGGTCAATGACTTGAACTTCTGGGCCACCTTGAAAGGTTGATGGCACACCTTGGCTATTGAGTAATAATGACCAAATCATGCATAACGGAATTAAAAAACGAAAGGTTGGACGGATCACGTCGGCCCAATAATTACCCACATTGATTTTTTCAACTTTATTTTGAAAGCTTAGGTTTTGATCTGTTTCTGACAAAGCATTCGATTGCGGATAAAATAAGGCACGGACGGTTGCAACCACCATTGCCAACCCCATCATTGGGGTAATGATTTGCAATCCAACAATTCCAACCATCTGTGATAAATATGACAGTTGTGCCTGACCTGAATAGTGCTGTTGGTTGGTATTGGTCAGAAATGAAATCATGGTATGCAGGGCTAAATCCCATGACATATTCGGCGCATTGTTTGGATTGAGTGGCAAGCTTGCTTGGCACATAAACAACACCCAAGTCACCAGTCCAATGACGATACAGCTCGCGACAAAGCTAAGTGAATAGGTCTTCGCATTCATCCCTTGATCAGGATGTGTACCCAAAACACGATAAATCGGTTTTTCAATCCAGTTAAAAATTGGATCAATTTTCATCTCTCGGTTTTGCATAATACAAGCAAGATACTTCCCTAAAGGAAAAGCCAAAAGCACTACTATTACCAAGACTAAGATAAACTCTAACATGACATTTCCCCCCAACTTGATTGGCTCAAATTAAAAATGTCGATATTGCAATGATTTATATGTTTTTGAAGTACGCATAATTTTGGATGCTGTACTTGTTGATGCGCTATATATTTAGCACTCATCTTTTTCATCCTAAACGCTGGGATATTCCACAACTCAGTATCCGCAAATACTCCGTAAACTCTCTATTTACAGTCAGATCAGCCGCGTAAAAATTTCGTAAAATTTTGTCTTTTTTGATTTATAAACAGCGTTAAATACATTACAAAGGTTCAAATTTTAGAACGCTTGTTTATTTTATTTATGGAAAATTTTGAACTGCTTAAAGCATTGTTTTTGGGGTTAATCGAAGGCTTAACTGAATTTTTACCCATCTCAAGTACAGGACATCTGATCTTATTTGGTCATCTTATTGATTTTCACTCAGATTCTGGACGCGTATTTGAAGTGGTGATCCAATTGGGCGCAATTTTGGCCGTATGTTGGCTGTATCGACAAAAAATCATCGAACTAATTCGCGGATTTTTTTCTGGCGATGTTGCAGCCAGACGTTTTGCGATTAATGTCTTAGTTGCTTTTATTCCTGCTGTAGTGATTGGTGTCTTAGCAGTAGATTTTATTAAACAAGTGCTGTTTAGTCCTTTGGTTGTGGCTTTTGCTTTAATTATCGGGGGCTTTATTATTTTTGCTGTAGAAGCCAGAAAGTTTGAACCTAAAACCATTGAAGCCACAGACATTACCTTAAAACAAGCAATTCTGGTTGGATTTGCCCAATGCCTTGCCATGATTCCGGGAACATCACGTTCAGGCGCCACCATTATTGGTGGGATGTTGTCTGGTTTATCACGTAAAGCGGCAACCGAATTTTCTTTTTTCCTTGCAATGCCAACCATGTTAGGTGCTGCAACCTATGATTTAATTCGAAATGCAGATGTTTTAACCTCAGATAACCTGATTAATATTTCAGTAGGGTTTGTTGCTGCATTTATTGCTGCGCTCTTGGTGGTAAAAGCTTTGGTCAAATTTGTTGAAAAACATACATTGAGAGTATTTGCTTGGTACCGTGTGGTATTGGGTATTATTTTACTGTTTGTGTTTTTATAATCATGTGAATTAATAGCAGATAAATTTAAGTCTTCTTATGTTTTTTTATCTATTGACCCACTTACCTTGTGGGTCTTTTTTTATCTCTTAAATATAGTCAACCTATCAAAAAACTCAAAAACAAGAATATAATTTCTCTTAATCAATATTTTTCAATTAAATTAATTACATAGAAAATTAAATTATTTGATTATAAAAAAGCTTGCAATGCCACACATTACGTTCAAAGTTTAAATAACTTTGCGTAGGCGATGCCTCACTTTTCGTAGGGGATGCCAAACCTTGCGCTGCAAACAAAGCCGTGCTTTGTTTTTGCTCATGTTGGGCGAGGGGTACGTCCTGTACCCCCGCCTAACGGCGACATCCCTGTCGCCCCACGATAGGATAACCATCTAGGATTCAAAAGTACAAAAACCGAATGAATAATCAATAGTTTCTAAGAATTCATACAAAAACATGAGCTTCATTTATGATCAGTGATTTGATATAAATCACTTGTATGAATAATTAAGTGGTTTGACTATAAGATGAGGGCGATTTCATCTTGCTCTATGGATTTTAAAAGGCCTTATATAAAGAAGCCTAATATTTAACAGGGAATGTTAAAGACTGAAAAACTCAGACTAAAATCCTCATACGGTCTATATAGACAAAGGATCACTTAGATAAAGCCACTCAATTCTTTATATATTTGATCAAGCCTTTAATGATCTAATTTTCAAGTACTTTCATCTTCAGAAATATCTTCAAAGTGTTTATCATCATTAAAACCATTTTCATAACCAAAGTCATTTTGGCTATTAAATGAATATTCACGATCATTTTCAAAGGTATTGTAACTGTGTTGATGATCAAATTTTGCAAGAGAGGCTTTGATATTTGAACGTGGATGGCGTGTAGGCAGAACAGTAGAAATTGAATGTTTATAGATAATTTGCATTTGCCCTACACTGTTTCTCAATAACACAACGTATGAATCAAAAGATTCAATATGCCCCTGTAATTTAATCCCATTGGTCAGAAAAATAAAAACTGGAATATGTTTTTTTCGGAGAGAATTTAACAGTGGATCTTGTAAAGTTTGAATTTTAGACATATTACGCTCCCAAAACTTTTAAATACTTAAAAAATATCGTTTTTAAATAAAATTTATAATTAGACGCATCCTGCGAATTTTACTTTTCTTCCAAAATAGATGAATCAACGCTACCATCTACCCCCTAATCTTTGAATTTCAACGTGAATATTTATATAGATTACTTAATCGGTGTAGCAGGCATCAGCATTTTTGAATGATCCATCTTCATCATCACATGTGCCATATCGACCCCACTCGATTGTGCGTTTTGCGCCATATCTGATGAATGTACATGCTGTTGTTCTGCATGATCATTATTGGGCTTTTGGGCTTCATTCTGTGCATTACAAGGCTTTAGAGAACATTGCATTTGCATTTTTACTGCTGCTTGAGGATCAGTTTCATTTGGTGTTTTAGAAGCATCTGCCCAAGATTGAGTTGCAATCATTAGTGTACCCATACAGAACACTTTTATTAAACTTCGACGTAAAATCACTCGCATTTGTACCTCTCCAAGCTTGAGATTCTTACTCGTACAATAAAGCGCGCTATTGAACATTCAGATGACTTGAAAGTGACATTTATGTAATCTATATCTTTCTTAAGTTTTATCACGCTATTATATTTTAAAGAGTATTCTAGGAATCGAACATGAGAATATTATTAGTCGAAGATGAGCAAAAAACGGGTGACTACCTTAAACAAGGTTTATCTGAAGCAGGTTATATTACTGACTGGGTTACAGATGGACTCACAGGTAAACAATACGCACTTTCTGAAGATTATGATGTGATCATATTAGACGTCATGTTACCGGGGGTAGATGGCTGGCATATCATAGAAGCCGTTCGTAAGAACGGAAAAACTATGCCTATTTTATTCTTAACAGCGCGAGATCAAATTGAAGACCGCGTAAAAGGCTTAGAGTTGGGTGCAGATGATTATCTGGTAAAGCCTTTCGCTTTTGCTGAACTTCTCGCAAGAATAAAAAGTTTACTGCGTCGAGGACAGCAAAGAGAAGACAGTAACTTAATTAGTATTGCCAATCTTGAACTTGATATCAGAAAACGACGTGTAACGCGTGAAGGACAACGTATCGACCTGACTGCGAAAGAGTTTGCATTGATGGAACTATTTATGCGGAGACGTGGAGAAATTTTGCCTAGAGCACTGATTGCCTCTCAAGTCTGGGATATGAACTTTGACAGTGACACCAATGTTGTCGAAGTTGCGATTAAACGCTTAAGAAATAAAATTGACAGTAACTTTACGCCTAAACTGATTCAGAATATTCGAGGAATGGGGTATGTGCTAGAGGTAGAAGATGAGGCGTAAGCTGTTCAATGCGATCAGTTTTCGAATCGCGATTCTTTTTTCCCTCTCCACAGTAACGATTTTAATCCTCATGGGCTTTGTGATACAGCTAGGGGTTTCGCAGCACTTTGAAGATGAAGATCGGGTATTACTTGAGGGAAAAATTCAGCTGATACAAAATCTCTTAAAACAAAATCCAACCAATACGCCTGAGCTTAATGTAGCATTAAAAGATTCACTGATTGGACATGATAATTTGATTGTGCAAGTTGAACGTCCGCTGAATCAAATTGTATTTAATTCCGCACAAATAGCCATCGCGCCACAAGTCATTGCGAATCCAGATCTGAATCAATGGATTAAATGGAAATTACAAGATAAAAGTTATCGTGGACTGGTCTATCAAAATATTTTTGAAGAAGATGAAGAAGCACAATCTACCCAAATTGTTGTTGCGATTGATACTTCAGAACACATGCTCTTTTTAAATGAATTTAAACATCAGCTATTTTATATTTGTTTAATTGGTGCACTATGTTTAATGTTTTTAGGATGGTTTGCTGTTTGGCGAGGATTGCGTCCGATAAAAAAAATAGCCGAAGTTGTAGAAGGTATTTCAGCGCAAAATTTGTCTGAGCGTTTAGAAGTTGAGCATACTCCAACAGAATTAAAATCATTGACGATCGCCTTTAATGAAATGCTTGATCGTTTAGAGTCAGCTTTAGAAAAACTTTCAGACTTTTCATCAGATCTTGCACATGAAATTCGCACACCGATCAACAATTTAATGACGCAAACGCAAGTGTGTTTATCCCGCAGTCGAGATATAGATGCCTATAAAGAAGTCTTATTTTCGAACTTAGAAGAGTTTGAACATCTGGCAAGAATCGTTTCAGATATGTTGTTTTTGGCCAAAGCAGAAAATGGTCTTAACCTAAAAAACCTACAAACCATTCATTTATACGAAGAATTCAACACTCTGTTTGAGTTTTATGATGCTTTAGCAGCAGAAAAACATATGACATTTCATCTGGTCGGTACTGGAAAAGTCAATGCAAATATTGCGATGCTACGCCGTGCGCTGAGTAATTTAATCTCCAATGCAATTAAATATGGCAAGTCGAACTCTGTCATTCAAATTAAATGTCAACAAACAGCAGAGTACACCAGTTTTTCAGTTGAAAATGAAGGCCCTACCTTATCCCCTGAACAATTATCTCGACTGTTTGACCGTTTCTATCGAACAGATGCCTCTCGCCAACGTGTTGAAGATGGTACAGGTTTAGGACTTGCGATCACCAAGTCTATATTGGCCTTACATGGTGCAACCATCCAAGCAGAATCACGAGATGGTTTAGTGATCTTCACGGTGATTTTTAAAAATGAATATCTTCCAACATGATATACAGAGCAAAAAGTATCTTAAATAAAATCACATCTTCAAGCAGCTGTTGAAAATACAGCTGTAAAAAGTTGAACTACAGCTCAATTATTAATAAAAAATAAACTTTTCCGACTAATGCGTGTTTAATTTGCCTTAAAAATCTTTTAATATTTCTTATTGTTTAGTTTTACTAAATAACAAAAGTGTAATTTTAAAGTCATTCTGATGTATATCGCCCTCTTTAATAATCAAGGTCTAAACACAACAGTAAAAGGAACATTCAATGAAATTCTCACAAAATAACATGACCAAACTGCGTAATGCCTTGTTTGGTGCAGTGATACTCATTACCGCGACCAATGCTATGGCTCATGTTGATTTAACCAGCAGTACACCTGCAATGAATGCATCCATTACGACTGCACCTAAAAGTTTAGTGCTTAATTTTAGTGGAGAAGTCATGTTAATGAATATCAAGTTATTAGATGCGCAAAGAACCAATATTCCACTTAACTATAAAGTGAATCATGATCTAAAAAAAATATTTAATGTTCCTGTTCCCGCACTTAAAAAAGGCAAATATTTTGTTGTTTGGACAACAATGGGCAAAGATGGACATAACATGAACAATGAATATAGCTTCACAATTAAATAAAACCAAAGAAATTGAAGATTGACGAACAACATTTCAGCAAGCGACTGAACTGTTGTTCGGGTGTGTTGGCATTTTATCAATGGTCTGAGTTGTCGCAAACTGAGACAAATTGTCAACAGACTCGAATAAAGGAAAAAAAATAATGTTCGAATTCTGGATCTGGTCAACTTGGCTAACAAAAATTACCTTATATCTCAGTACTGCTTTTATGATTGGTGGTGCTTTTTGTTATTTTTTACTTTGGCGTTATACCAGCATAAAAGTGACACTACTCAAGTATATGCATTTAGGTGCGACATTAGGTCTGGTTGGAAGTACTTTAGGCTTTTTTATTTTGGTAGGTAGCTTTGCCAACGCGGGGCTTTCTGGCATTTTTGATCAAACCTATCTCAATATTCTTTTAAATACAGACACTGGGCAAATACACATTGTCAGAATTATCAGTTTTGCCTTAATTTTTCTGCTTTTAACGATCAAATTGGGCAAAAAAACTACCCATATTGCCACTTTTGAAAAAATACTATTTGCGGTATTGCTTATCCCTATTCTTTATAGCTATTCCCAAATCGGGCATGTCACCAACTTACCATTTTTTGCTCAAATTCTACTCAGCATTCATGTGTTTTTCATGTCGTTATGGATGGGCTCACTCTATCCGTTATGGAAAATGAGCCATAAAATCAGTGGCCGATCGTTAAGAAAACTCATGGAGGCATTTGGGCGAATTGCAGCTTATGTTGTCGGAATATTAATTCTCTGTGGTATCACAATTGCATTATTTTTATTTAAAGATTTGAATACTTTAATCTATACCTCCTATGGTCATGGTTTTGTTCTTAAACTGGCATTTGTGGGGAGTATTTTATTACTTGCTGCTTTCAATAAATGGTTCCTTACTCCACGCCTTGAAGAACCTTTATTTGCACAATATTTAAGTTGCGCCATTTTATTTGAAATGTATCTGGGTTTATTGATTCTACTCACCACCAGCTACATCACCACAGTGGTTGGGATTGATTAAAAAATACGGATATGAATCATTGAATTGAGAGCATTATCTTGCGCTATAAACAAAACAATGTATTGTTCTTTCCCAGATAAAAAATGATCATGTTGAATAAATTATCTGGGTATTGAAAGTCCCTTCTCCCTCTGGGAGAAGGCTAGGATGAGGGCGCTTTTATGTTGATTGATGCTTTAAAATGATTGATAAAAGAAGCCTTATATAAGCAATAATGAACTATGATTAAAACAAAGAGTATCAGCAAAACATCGTTCAAGAAAATATATTTTTAGGGGCTGTTCATAAACTAAATTTATATTGACAACAAGGTGTTATAAAAACTTGAATTGTTTTACTTGACCTTACCATTATGTCAAAGTTTAGGATTTAGATCATGGAATAAGACTTATAGGTATGACTTATGGAAAATAGATCACATGATCGTGTTTCTGATTTGAAAAGCAGTTTACAAATCAAAGGTATGAGCTGTGCAAGTTGTGTTGGTCGAATAGAAACAGCGCTTAAAAAAGTCGATGGTGTAACTCAAGCATCTGTGAATTTAGCCACTGAACGTGCAGAAATTACATCTAACACTCCCATTGACCGAGAGGCATTGATCAAAGCTGTTGAACATGCGGGATATGAAGTTGCTGATGCAGCCACTGAATTATCAATAGATGGAATGACCTGTGCCTCATGTGTCAGTCGTGTTGAAAAAGCGCTAAAAGCCGTTCCCGGTGTTAAAGAGGCAAATGTAAATCTCGCAACTGAACGCGCAACAATCACGGGCACTGCCAATGTTGCGGCTTTAATCGCAGCGATTGATAAGGCGGGTTATGATGCCAAAGAAATTCAAACCGCTATCCCAGATCAAACAGAACACTTAGAGAAAAAAGATCAAGAACGCGCTGAACTAAAACGAGACCTTATACTTGCCACTATTTTTGCGTTACCTGTTTTTATTCTAGAAATGGGTTCGCACCTTATTCCGGGCATGCACCATCTGATTGCTCAGACCATCGGGATACAAAATAGCTGGTATTTACAGTTTATTCTGACCACACTAGTTTTGGTAATTCCGGGTCGAAGATTCTATATCCACGGATTACCCGCTTTATTGCGTTTAGCGCCAGATATGAACTCGCTAGTTGCTGTAGGCACCTTGGCAGCTTATCTATTTTCCATCGTCGCGACATTTATACCCAGCATCTTACCTGCTGGAACAGTCAATGTTTACTATGAGGCAGCTGCGGTTATCGTTGCCTTAATTTTACTCGGTCGTTTTCTTGAGGCAAAAGCCAAAGGAAGAACCTCAGAGGCAATTCAGCGCTTAGTCAGTCTACAAGCCAAAGTGGCACATGTTTCTCGTAACAATCAAATCGTAGATATTCCAATCGATCAAGTTGTCGTAGGTGACTTTATCATTGTCAAACCGGGTGAACGTGTTCCTGTTGATGGAAAAGTCATTGAAGGCAAAAGCTTTGTAGATGAGTCAATGATTACCGGTGAACCGATCCCTGTCGAGAAAAAAATAGACAGTGAAGTGGTCGGTGGCACTATCAATCAAAATGGCACATTAAGCTTTAAAGCTGTCGCTGTAGGCGGCGAAACTATGCTTGCACAAATCATTCGTTTGGTTGAGCAGGCACAAGGCTCGAAAATGCCCATTCAAGCTGTAGTTGATAAAATCACCTTATGGTTTGTACCAGCTGTAATGGCTGCTGCTGTACTGACTTTCTTGATTTGGTTGATTTTCGGTCCTTCCCCTGCTTTAACATTCGCATTAGTCAATGCTGTTGCTGTGCTGATTATTGCCTGCCCTTGTGCAATGGGTTTAGCAACGCCAACCTCAATTATGGTCGGAACAGGTCGTGGTGCTGAACTCGGTGTACTGTTCCGTAAAGGCGAAGCATTACAACTACTGAAAGATGCCAAAGTTGTTGCTGTAGATAAAACAGGTACATTAACCGAAGGCCATCCTGTACTAACAGATTTTGAAGTCACTGAATTTTTTCAACGTGATCATGTCTTAAGTATGGTGGCAGCCGTTGAATCTCGTTCTGAGCATCCGATTGCTAAAGCCATCGTAGATGCTGCAATCAAAGAAAATCTGACCTTACCCAAAGTGAATCAATTTGATTCTGTGACCGGTATGGGGGTCTATGCAGCTATAGATGAAAATGGAGACATTCATATTGGTGCAGATCGTTATATGCTGCAACTTAATATTGATATTTCACCTTTTGCAAGTGCAGCGCAACGTTTAGGTGACGAAGGTAAATCACCGCTTTATGTAGCAATTAATGGCAAGTTGGCAGGGATAATTGCAGTTGCAGATCCAATTAAATCAACCACGCCAAGTGCCATTAAAGCCTTACATCAACTCGGTCTTAAAGTTGCGATGGTGACAGGTGATAACGCCCGTACAGCACAAGCCATTGCTCGCCAGCTCGGTATTGACGAAGTGATTGCGGAAGTTCTACCTGAAGGAAAAGTCAAAGCGGTACAAAGCCTAAAAGCAAAATATGGCAATATTGCATTTGTTGGTGATGGGATCAATGATGCGCCCGCTTTGGCTGAAGCCGATGTCGGTCTTGCGATTGGTACAGGTACAGATGTTGCGATTGAGTCGGCAGATGTTGTATTAATGTCAGGTAACTTGCAAGGTGTTGCCAATGCCATTGCACTATCAAAAGCCACCATCGGCAATATTCATCAGAATTTATTCTGGGCATTTGCTTACAATACCATGCTGATTCCAGTTGCGGCTGGGCTACTCTATCCTGCTTATGGCATCCTGCTTTCACCAATATTTGCAGCAGGTGCAATGGCTTTATCCAGTGTATTCGTGTTGGCCAATGCCTTACGTTTACGTCGTTTTCAACCCGCTTCTACTTTCGAGTAGAAGCTTGTAGAGAGAATCACCATGAATATTGGAAAACTGTCTCAAACTGTTGGAATATCTGCCAAAATGATTCGTTATTATGAACAGATTGGTCTGATTCCAGCCGTGGGTCGAAGTAATGCAGGCTATCGCTCCTATTCTGACCAAGATGCTGAACGGCTCAAGTTTATTCGAAGTTCAAGATCACTTGGATTTTCAGTTGCAGAGATCGCTGATCTTTTAGATTTGTGGAACAATAAAAATCGACACAGTGCAGATGTAAAGCAACTCGCACTCTCGCATATCGAAAAATTGGAAATCCGTATTACTGAACTACAGAAGATGACCAATACCTTGCAAAATTTAATCAATTGTTGTGCTGGTGATCATCGGCCGAATTGTCCAATTCTTGAGGGTTTGCAAAAGCAAGATATTGAACTTCAAGAAAGCTACCATCAAAATGATTCTCTCTCTGTTTCACCACTTGCACAGCAAAAAGCTAAATAAGATTTAAATCCTCCCCCTTGCGAAGTAATACTTCTCACCTTTGAAAAAGGAGGGAGCTTTTCATTACTTAAATGAATTGACTTTCATGCAGTTCTCTTCTTTTTCAGTGCAAAGGGGCTTGCACTGCCTCATATTACAGTGAAAGGTTTAATTTAACTTGCGTAGGCGATACCTTACTTTTGAAAGATCAAAAGTAACAAAAATCTTTCGTCTGGCGAGGGGTACATCCTTATACCCCCGCCAAACGGCGACATCCTTGTCGCCATGCGGTAGAAACACCGTGTAGGATTCAATGATGAAAAGGTACTTGCACAGCTTTAACTTAAATTGAGAAGTTTTAATTATTTTATGTAAGTTCTAGATCTTACATAAATCAAAAAATGATCTTAAAGCGTAAATTGTATTGATATTGGAAGTTCCTTCTCCCGCTGGGAGAAGGCTAGGATGAGGGGCTTTTATATTGAATTTTGGGTTAGCACTGCCCCATCTTACTATGAAAAGTTTAAATTTAATTTGCGTAGGCGATGCCTTAGATAAAAACCCTTCTCCTTGCGAAGTAATACTTCTCACCTTTGTCAAAGGAGGGAGCTTTCCATTACTCAAATTAATTAAGTTTCACTTAACTCCATCGCCCCAACGTCAACATCCTTGTCGCCATGCGGTAGCTACGCCCTGTGTGATTCAATGATGTAAAAAGCAAAGCGACTTAATTTATACTCCTCTATTTAAATTTTAAACCCATAAAAAAACTGCAATCGATTAACGATTGCAGTTCCATTTTTTAAACAGTTCTAGCTTATTTCAGACTATAGGCAATCACATAGTCACCATGATCAGGAGATTGTCGAGCACCGCCCGCAGTCACCATCACATATTGCTTACCTGTTTTAGGTGAAACATAGCTGATTGGCGTTCCTTGGCTACCGACAGGTAAGCGTGATTTCCACAACTCTTTACCTGAAGATGAATCCAAGGCACGTAAGTAGTAATCTTGCGTTGCTGCAAAGAAGACTAAGCCACCTTGTGTTGCCATTGGTCCACCAATGGTAGGCATACCAATCGGTGCTTTTAATCCCATTTTTATGCCCATAGGTCCAGTGTCTTCGACTGTTCCCATCGGCACTTGCCAAGCGATCTGACGAGTTTTCATATCAATGGCAGTCATGGTGCCATAAGGCGGTTTTTGACATGGAATATTCAACTTCGACCAGAAGCGATCTTTATTGACTTTATACGGTGTACCTTTCATCGGTACAGCGCCCATACCTGTATTGACCTTTTCACCACCATTTGCCTGAATTGCCAAATCTTCAGGTGTTTGTTCGATCAACTGAATCCATAAACCTAAACGCATGTCGTTGACAAACATATATTGATGGCTTGGATCAAAGGCAATACTGCCCCAGTTCATGCCGCCCAAAGAGCCTGGGAAACTTAAAGATTTATCTTTACCCGGTGCAGTATATAAGCCTTCATAACGCATAGATTTAAAGCCGATACGACACATCAGCTGGTCAAATGGTGTTGCACCCCACATATCCGATTCAGTCAAAGTTTGATTACCAATTTGTGGCATTTCAACAGAACGTGGTTGAGTTGGGCTATATTGTTCACTCGGAATATCCGCAGCTTTCACGGGCTGTTCAATTACCTTGGTTAATGGTTTACCTGTTAAGCGATCCAATACAAAGAATTGTCCAGATTTGGTTCCAATCACCACAGCAGGTTGATTCTTACCACCTTTCATTGGGAAATCAACCAAGCTTGGTTGCATCGGTAAATCAAAATCCCATAGGTCATTATGAACAGTTTGATAGACCCATTTTTCTTTACCTGTGCTTGCATCTAAAGCCAATACGGATGAATTGTATTTATGATCCAAAGGTTGACGGTTGCCTCCCCAAACATCCACAGATGAGCTACCCATTGGTAAAAATACTGTGTTCATTTTTGGGTCATACGACATTGCTGCCCAAGAGTTTGCAGAACTGCGTTTATAGGTTTCACCTTCTTTTAACACATAGTTTGGATCAGGATTACGTGGATCAAATGCCCAGCGCAATTGACCTGTGATCACATCATAAGCACGAATCACCCCACCCGGCATATCTGCGGCAAGGTTATCTGCAATACGACTACCCACCACAATCACTGTGCCCGCAATAGTTGGTGCAGAGGTCACTTCAAAACGTGGCGCGGTGGTTCCTTCACCCAAACCTTTGAGTAAATCAACCGTTCCATCAATACCAAAATCTTTACAACGTTCACCGGTATCAGCATTGACCGCAATTAAACGACCATCTGGTGTGTTGGTATAAACACGGCGTAGACAAGCGGTATTATTAGCGACAGCTTGAACAGGGGTTGCACCAGCCAAAGTCGGTTGGGTTAGTGCTTGGGTTGAATCGAAGTAAGCCACACCACGACAACGTTCCCATGCATCCGATTTAGAGTTTACTTCGGCTTTCCAAAGCTGTTTACCTGAGTCAGCCTCTAAAGCAAAAATATTGTTATGTGGTGTACATAAGAAAATCTTGTTGCCCACCTGTAAAGGGGTCATTTGATCTTCTGCACCATTGCCTGAACCCGTGGTGAAATCACCTGTACGAAAACGCCATGCTTCTTTGAGTTGATGGACATTATCACGAGTAATTTGATCAAGTGCAGCAAAGCGACTGCCGCCTGCATCCTGACCATAATGCTGCCAGTTACTTTGTTTCAGGTCCGCTTGAACAGGGACCAATGGCAATTCCTGACCTGAAGCTGCAACCGTTGGATGTGGTTGGAACATTTGATAAAGCCCAATCAACATGCCTAAAACTGTGAGTGCACCTAAGCCAAAAGCTGGCAAGCTCGCACTCGGTTGAAACTGGTAACGACGAATCGCGGGTAAAGTAAACATCAATGCAGCAAATAAACCTGCTGGAAACATCAGTCTTGAAAATAAAGGCCAAAATTCCCAACCTGCATCTAGCAATGACCAAATAATTGTGCCCACAAAAACCAAACTAAATAACCAGACACCGAGCGTTTTTTTCTTAAATATAAATATCGCTGATGCCAGTGTGAATACACCAGAAATCACGAAATACCATGATCCTCCAAGTGTTACCAGCTTAGCACCACCAACGGTAAAGAATAGCCCTGTCACAAGTAAAGCCAAAGCTAATATAAAACACCATATTTTTAATACGGTATGTGTCCTTGTAGACTCAGTCATAGGTCATACTCCTAGATTAGAAATTCACACGCATGCTCAACCCAGCAACCCAAGCATCATCCACTTCTTTTACACCCGCAGGCTGATGGATATATTGTAGGTTGGGTCGTAGCATGACCGCAGGTGACCATTGGTAGGTATAGTTCAGTTCAACATTGAGCTCATCACGTTGCACTGGCACATAATCTGTTGCGAACCTATCGTATTGGTCATAGCCACGGCTGTTGTTGGTTGCAATTTGGCGATCTTTATAACGATCATTGACCATATAATTTGCAATACCAAATCCGATTGAATCATTTGGGCGACTGTCAAAAGGCCCTTTGTACCAGAAAGCAAGTTGTTGGGTACTTTGTACTGCCGTGGTGGCTTTATCATTGACCACAGCATTAAAGCTTACGAACAAACCACGTTTAGGATCTTGGCCTTTTTGGCTCAGTTGTTGTTGTGCATTGAGCCAAAAACTATGTTTGCTATCATGCACCTTGCCTGCAATCGCAATATCATTGGCTTCTGCTGTCGAGTACAACGCACCGACTTTATACTCGCCTGCTAAACCATCAAATGCTGCTAGTTTTGGACGCCATGCCAGTTCTACTGGAATAGTGGCGCCTTTAACATTTCGCATATCCAAGTTAAAACCATCGTTTTTGCCGGTTTTAATGTTGTCAGGATTGACTTCATAAACACCGACACCCAATGTCCACTCAGGTGCAAATTGGTATTTCACATTGGTTCCCCATAAACCTACGGGTAAGTTGTACCAAATTGAACCAATGGATTTACCGAGTTGTCCGCCACAAAGTAATAAGTTTTGGAATTCACATTGTGAACCATTAAAGTCATCCGACATGCCCATACGACCAATCTTGAATTGAACGGTATTGTCAGCAAAGCCTTTTTTGACCCATGCTTGGGTCAGGCGCCAGATTTTGCCTCGCCCATAAATTTCTTGTGAATTGCCCAAAGCACTGGAACGTGGGTCTTTAATGCTTTCTAAAGTTAAAGCATTACCATCACGCTTGGTGATTAAGATATTGGCTGTGGTATCTTTCCAGCCCGCGATTTTATTTAAATCAAAGTTTGCACCCAACGCCAATTGCGCTGCATTTTCAAAGCTGTTGTTGTCGTGATAGCCACCGTCTAAATTGGTTGCAGCTTGGCTCATGATAGATGCAGTAAATTTATAGCCGTCTTTTTCCAGTTGTTGGCGTTGCCCATTCCAATCGCCCAATAACCATTGACGATCTTGTGACCAAGCTTGCTCAGCAAAACTACTCTGAGCCATACACACTGCAACTGCCAAACAACTCAGTTTGATCGATAATCCATTTGAACTCATATTAAGCATCCTTACTTTTATTTAAGTTTTACCGCTGAGCTAAGTTCAGATGTTGCACCTAGACGATCTGTGATATTTGCTGTAACAGATGCAACTTTCATTGTCGGTTTCCAAGTCACGCTTGCTGTGCCTTGGGCATTGGTTGCAACAGTGCTTGAGCCTAAGTAAAACTCGGCTTCATTTGCGCTTGCTTGTGAGTTTCCAAAAAATTCAACTTGATAACGTTGATTTGGTTGTCCTTTTACTTCTACCGCAATTTGACCTTTTGCTAGGGTCAATTTAGGTGCTTGAATATTTTGATTTGGTTGTGGATTACAGCCTTGTTCATTGGGTTGCTGGCAGGTCTTTTGTAAGTTTGCTGGAACAATTTTTACACCATGACCACGTGAACCGACAAAGTGCGCATGTTCTAATCCCGGAATATCAAAAATGATTGCACCTAAACGTTGATTGGGCACACAGCTTCCACCCGCTTCACAGCGTTTGATGTCTTTGCCATTATTCCAAATTTGATTTTTGGTTAATGTGATACGCGCATTAGCATCTTTTTCTGAACGAATGGCAACACCGACTCGATTGCCATGGACTTTATTGCTGTCAAAAATATTGCCATCACCGGTGAGGTTAAAGCCGTTGGAGTTATTGGTGAGTTCGTTATAGGCAATATAATTGCGTTTGCCCCAGTTGATCTGTAAACCATCTGAATAGTTTTCAAACTTGTTGCCAATCACGGCATTGTCATTGCCCCATAGAATTTCAATGCCTTGTGATGGCTCTGGGTTTGCAGCAGTTGAAATAAAGTGGTTATTGGCAACCAAGTTAAATGCAGCACCACGGGTTAACTCAAGTCCATCACCATTGTCTTGGAAATAGTTATTTAGCACTTTGTTGTTATTGGTGGTGGTCGCAGTCGGATTCCCTTTGCCATCATCCCCTGTCAACATCACCCCTGCACCGCCATAGTTGTGCATAATACGGTTATTTTGGATCAGGTTATTGCTGGCACGGTTCATCAAGATCCCAATACAAAAACGACGAATCTCTAGCCCTTGAATACTGACCCCGTTGATGTCACGTAACACAATACCCGGTAAAGTTGTGGTACGAACATTGGTTCCGAACTGCCCTTCAACCGCACCCGGGCAAGCTTCAACCCCTGTACCTTTAATATAATTTGAGCCATCAATCGCGATAAACTCACCTGTTTTTGCCCACTGCGTACCGATGATTTTTACGGGCGCTTTAATTTCTGGCAGTGGGCTGTTGACCTTAATGGCATAAGGCGCTTGCCCAACCGCTTGAATCAGAATCTCACTGGCTTCACTCGGCTTGCTATTGGCTTGCTCAATCGCCCAACGCAATGAACCTTTTTCATGATCATCTTGATAACGATCCACCACATAGCTTTCCGCCATTGCCAAACCAGAAACCGCTAAGCCAAGTGCCAACGTTGTTAAACGTAATGAAATCATTTTCATGTCTAAAAATTCCTTTTAATTTATGGTGTAGGTTGAACGGTTTTTAATAACTGTTTCAATTGAGTCACATCAATTTGGCCGGGCGCAGAAGCTTCACCAATCATGCCAAAACTAAAGCTGCCGCCCATATTGGCTGTGGCAATTCGAGAAATAGTCCCGAGTTTACCCATCGACATGGTGAGTAATGGTTTTTTAGATTGTTGGCTGACTTTTAAGGTCGCATTCATCAAAGTAAACACATCTTGTTTGCTTTGTGGCATCACTGCGATTTTAAGAATATCTGCGCCAAGCTGATCTTGTTTAAGCAAGCGTTGAACGATTTCTGCTTCATCAGGGGTCTTTTTAAAATCGTGATTGGACATCACAATCAATACTTTTTTCTCATGTGCCAATTTAACGGTGTTTTTCACCACTTGCTGATCTCGGAACATTTCAACATCCAGCATGTCCATAAAGGGTTGGCGTAAATAAGCTTGATAGATTTTGTCATAATCTGCATCGCTGATGGTCAGTTGCCCGCCTTCGTTATGGGTACGAATGGTGGCGATCATCGGTTTAGCCCCTAAAATCTGTTTAAGCTCATGTCCTAAAGCAATCACTTGCTTAGTGTCACTGGCAAAGTTGAGTAGATCTATGCGGAACTCTGCCAAATCAGCATCTGGATTGCTGGCAATGATTTTTGCCTGTGCTAAGGCTTGTTCTTTGGTTTTTGCTGTAATCGGGACGATGGTTTTTACTGGGAGTTTTGCCAGTTCTGCAAGTTCAACTGGGCTTGGTGAAATAGGTTGCGCCTGTGTCATCTGAAGGGGCAATATGGGGCTAAGTGCAAGCATCAATGCTGCAAGTTTTTGTAGTTTCATTTTCATCTTCCTGAATAAATTATCCGTTTGTATATCGCGTTTTCGCTTGATTGCGATTTCATTTAAGTGCTTTTCGTCTATCTAAATCCCTCCTAATCCCTCCCTTGCGGAACTTCAATCGTTCCTCACCCTTTTTAAAAGGGAGGGGTATCGCGAATCTCAAGACTTGAATCACTTCATATCATGTCCACCTTTTAAAAAAGGAGGCATGTCACAAATCTCAAGGCTTCAATAAGTTCGTGACAAGCCCCCTTTAAAAAGAGATTTAGGCGATTCCTAGATATCAAAAAATACAGTTTCGTCTTCACCTTGAATTCGAATATCAAAGCGATACACGATTTCACCGTCTACTTCACTGCGTTTTGCAATCAGGGTTTGGCGGCGGACTGCCCACTCAATACTGTTGAGTACCGGATCATTGGCGTTTGCTTCAACTTCATCGTCAAAATAAATACGGGTATGCAAACCAATGTTGATTCCACGAGCAAATAGTGCGACTGCAATATGTGGTGCTTGGGTTGAGCCTTTACGTCCTGCTACAGCCCCCGGTTTAATGGTGTCAAAACTCCAAAAACCAGTTTCAAAATTTGCGCCTGTACGCCCCCAACCCTGAAAATGAGCATCGGCTGTTTTGCCTTGGGTATCGGCCTGACTTGGATAAACCCCATTGGCATCGGCTTGCCAGATTTCCAGCAATACATCTCTTAATGGTAAACCCAGTCCATCAAACACTTGACCTTCGATGCGGATACGTTGGCCTTGAGTGTGTTGTTTCACCAATTGGTTATCGAAGCTATGTTCAAATACTTCAATATTGGCTTGTTGTGGCAATAAACCGATATGTACATAAGGACCACCTGTTTGTGATGGGGTTTCCTTAATTTCCTGAAAATTCCATGCATTCATTGTGTGAGTTCCTTAAGTCAAATCATTTTCAAAATAAGTCGCACGACGACCACGCAGATGAATATCAAAGCGGTAACAACGACTATCTGATTCTATGAAATTGTTTTTATCTTCTAATGCGATCAAGGCACGACGCTGATCTTCAGATGGAATGGTTTTTAAAATCGGGCAAGTATCTATCAGGGTATCGCCCTCAAAATAGAACTGCGAAATCAAACGTTGTGCCCAACCATCTGCAATCAATGAAAAATGGATATGCGCTGGACGCCATTCATTGATTCGGTTACGCCACGGATATGGTCCCGGTTTAATGGTACGGAAAATATAAAAACCATTTTCATCGGTTAAGGTACGACCACAGCCACCAAAGTTAGGATCCATTGCGCCAATAAATTTGTCATTTGGATGGCGATAACGACCCGATGCGTTGGCTTGCCAAACTTCCAATAAGGCGTTTTTCACAGGGCGACCAAACTGGTCACGCACATAACCGTGCACAATAATTCGCTCACCGACTGGGAGCCCTTCTTTGGCATAGTTCAAAATCAAATCATTGTCTTTTGCACCAAAAATTTCAGGTGAAAAATGCGGTGAAGTGACTTCAGTTAATGTTTCATTAATCGAGATCAATGCATTTTTGGGCGAGCGTAATACACTGGTTTTATAGCCTGGTGTATATGCTGGCGGGTGATCTTCTGTATTCCGTTGCGGATATGCACCCAATGTATGACTTAACATGCCTATCTCCTTAATCCTGTTGTTGTGCAGCGACAGGTTGCACTTCTATTCCGAGTTCTTTAAAAACATCTTCAGCCATGTGCATTGCAGCATTTGCGGCTGGCAGTCCCGCATACAATGAGCTGTGTAAAATCAGTTCTTTGAGTTCGTCCTTGGTAACGCCATTGTTAAAGCAAGCACGTAGATGCATTCTGAGTTCATCTTCTCGTCCCAATGCCAACAAGATAGCAATGGTGACTAAACTGCGGGTGTGCCGTGGTAAACCTTCACGTGACCACACCTCACCCCAAGCAAAACGGCTAATAAAGTTTTGAAAATCTTGGTTAAAGTCATTCAAGTTTTCTAAAGAACGACCGACATGTTTTTCACCCAAGACTTCGGTGCGGACCTGTAGTCCTTGTTTGTAACGTTGTTCATCATTCATTGAAATTGTCCCTCTTTGTGATCTTATGTCTGATCTTGAGAAAGTTAGCTTGCATCGGTATGCGCCACTAAGGATTTAACAAAAATTGCCACAGCCGCAGCGGTTGCAGGAATCATCAATAAGCTTAAAATTGCGGTAAATGACCAATCATTGCCCAGCAAAACAGCACCAATCCAAGCCCCAAACACTGCGCCAAAACGGCCGATCCCTGTCATCCATGCCACACCTGTTGCACGACATTGAGTTGGGTAAAAACGGGCACTTAACGCTGGCATTGCAGATTGCGCACCATTGATTGCAACCCCTGCACATAACACCAAAATGGCCAATAATGTTGGGTTGCTGAGGCTTTGACCTACGGCAACAGCAAACAAGCCTGCGATAAAATAGAATGCTGAAATAATGCGGTTTGGGTTAAAACGATCCATTGCCCAACCAATAAATAACGCACTCAACACACCACCAAACTGGAATAGACCGCCAATAAATGCCGCGCGTTCCATGGTTGCGCCGGTTTCACGCATCAAGGTTGGTAACCAACTGGTCAGTAGATAAATCACCACCAAGCCCATAAAGTAGGTTGACCATAACAACACTGTGCCTTTGGCAAATTTTTGGGAAAACAACATGCCAAATACATTTTTCTTTTGTGCCACAGCAGACTGTTCTTCTGGGATATAAAAGCTGTCAGCAAGCTGTACTTTTTCAGGCGCAATATGGCTCAGGATTTTGCGAACTTTTGCAGCATCTCGACCATAATGCTGCCAGTTACTTTGTTTCAGGTCCGCTTGAACAGGGACCAATGG